TGCTGCTGGTGTTGATGCTGCTGGTTGTGGTTGTGGTGATCATGGTGATGGTGGCCTTGGTAGTGCTGACTCTGGTGCTGATACTGCTGGCGGTGACGATAGTGGCGCCGCCGAATCCTCTGTTGCCATTCGACCGCGACGCGTCTAGCTCCTAGTATTTCTATCCCGCGGTATAGGTAGCAGTTCGCGATTGAATGGCCCCCGCGGCCACAGAACCGGCATCTTCTGGGTCTCCAGCCACCGCGTCTGCCACGGTCACGGTCACCACCGCGACCACCGCGACCGCCATTTCCATGTTCTTCGTAATAAGTAGAAGCTCCAGTGTTGCTAGCCGATGGCATGATGTTTACCGGAACTTCTATGTATCAAATTAGAGGAGAACTAATCTCTGGAAGGAATGCGACTACTGTCATGATCCCGCCTGGTGCGCTTCAGGAGTGAATCATCTGGCTATCTATTCCACTAGACTATCCAGTAAAAGACTAGAATTCTGAGTCAACAGACTCGGAACGCGCATCTCTTATAAGCTTCAATTCACTAAGTTCTGCTAGGCATGTGACTGGTTGTCACAACTACCTAGTCCTCCAGCACCTATCATTGTTAGAACAAGGATCTTACATGTTCAGAGTATACACCGATGTGATAACTGAACTTAATTATCTTCTCCCACAAGAAGAGAAATAGAAGATGATATTAACTAGAAGATTTATGAAATGATTATAAAAAAAAATCTATCTAAGTTATTTTTATTATATATATTATACTGACTGAAAAGACATGGTTCGAAATTATTTTATTTTAATTGAGATTATTTAGTTAATCCAAGAACTTACTAGAAAGATAAATAAGAAAAACAAAGATATTATTTATATTAATAATAAATATCTTACAGATACTTTGGATATTATTATATAATATATTTCTAAATTAAATATATTTTACAGTTAATAAATCTAATTATAATTAATATATAAAAGCCAGCTTCTAACAGGTTGATTAAATTAAAATTGAGAATAGTAACTTTGATTACAACTTCAAATAAAAGAATTTTTATTATTAACTTCTGTTTGTTTTGTTCGTTTGCTGCTTTCGTTGCTGTAGAACGCTCCTCAAGACTTAGGAATTATTGGACGACGGTTCAGAAACTCTGGCCAAAGCCACTGGAAGCAGGCTCATTGGGAGATCGATTCATTGTGCTCAGACCCCAAAAGACCATCACCACCCAGACCAAAGAAGAAAGCCAAGAACAACAGACCCAATCCGAAGTCCACAAGGGAATCACTTGCTCAGTTCCGGGAGTTGAGCCCTTATCTATTGGGGCTGTCTGGTTCCCGGAGGCCCCAGCTAAATCTCTACAGCGACTAATCATTCACTCTACCCGAGTGCTTATGTGATGTTCGGTAATCGTCCTGGGGAAACCAGTAATATAGGTTTTAATAAACTGTGTAAAATATCCGGATAGTTAGTGTTTACTATATAGTACCGCTTGTCTTGGGATAAGAAAACCACATTCTCTGCTGCCTTCCAGGATGGAATTACTGCCTATGTTTATGCGCTCGAGGTTCTCAAGATTCCAGTATCTTAGATTGCATTCGCTGGCGACTCTGCAGGTGGTAACCTTATCATGGCACTGCTCCGCTACATTAATAAGGAGAATCCGGCGCTTCCATTACCTTGCTGTGCAGTTTTATTGTCTCCTTAGGTTGATCTGAGCACTGAATCTATTGAGCATATGCTCCTGAACCGCAATTATATCACTGACTTTGTCAAACAGAATTTCCTTGACTGGGGCCGGAAGGCTTTTACACCTGAGAGATGGGATAGCAGTAATTCCTGGATTATATTTCTAAGGAATGAGACTCAGCTGGGTATCCTGGTCTTTATCAATGCTGGTACATCAGAAGTTTTCTATGATAATATCATGAAGTTTGCAGAGAACTTAAAGAAAAAGAGTAATGAGATTAAAGTGCTTGAAACTCCTAATACAGCCCATGTTCCTTATCGGCTGGGTAAGAATTGGAACCTGGAAGATGCTCAGGCTATTTGCTTGACAACCATGACTAAATTTCTCGAGAAAACTGGTGTTTGAGTGGGCAGTTATAAATATACCTCTTCTCGAAGTGCTCGAGATAGACCCGTCAATTGATCGAAATGTTCATGTACATAAATTAGAAAACTTGTGCAATACCTTATATCTCCAGCTTATAGAGAATAGATGCAGCTTTGGAGACTTCTAAGTGCAGTTTACAAATTACTTGACTTAAGATTCAAAATGATAAAAAGATATATATTCATCGGACACACACATCTCCGTAGCTTGACTAAGTAGTGACACCGAGCTCACCATTCTTATCGTCCTAGAAGAAAAGTGATAAGTACCGAAGACCTGCGATTTTCGATCTTTCCACCACAAATTGAGACCGAAACATTTATCTATGTAGACAATACAGCCTCAACACAAAACCAATTGATCACTTGGGCACAGCTCACACGAAAAGAAGTTTGATGGGACATCATTACACTCCAAGCGGAGGGATCATCACGCGGCTGCGGTTCGCCATACTCTTCCCCGTTAGTGTTCTTTGCAAATATTCAACGGTCATTGATCTTCAGTTAATTTCCAAGAAAGGTTAATAGTAGATATTTGCTATTTAGATGAGACTACATAAACTCACATACTGCCATTACACCGCCTCAAGCGAAGACATAAGAGACTAACCACTAAAGACCCTGCAATGCCATTGCCTCACTCAACCTCTTCACAAACACCTGAACATGGTCCGGTCCCAAAACATTAGCATGGTCACCTGGCACATGGCTCAAATTGATTTTCTTTTTGGAAAAGTTGTCCCAAGCAGCTAGACATTTCTTCCAGTCTTCAGGTGTAACATTCAAGAACTCCAGCGGAGTGCAATGAAAGACATCCATATGAGCGTTGACGACTCCATTCGGCTCATAGTCTCTTCCTATCTCCTGTAAACTGAAGGTAACGTTAATCCACTGCTCTAGGTCGCCTTTATCCAAACCCAACGCGAGGAGCTGAGCAGGATCCACTTCCTCGATTACTCTGGCCAAGGCTTCTTGCTTGTGGAGTCCGGAGAGCTCCGTGATGAGAGTCCGGTATGAGTCCCGAGAAAGAAGGCCGAGAAAGTAAGAAATGTTAAACAAGCAGTCTGTCCATGTAACTTTCTTCAGGATTGGACTAACATATGGAGGGCGATTAAGACCGGCTAGGTATTGAACTTGATCGCCTTCTTTCTCGATGTACTTTGCAAGTTCGAATGCTAGCATTGTTCCGTAGGAGTATCCGAGGATAGCGTAAGGGCCGTTCGGTTGGAGCTTCTTCATAGCGGAGTGGTAGGTGCGGATGCATTCGTCGATGCTGGTGAAGTATGGCTCCTTGTGGTGGAATCCGCGGGCACGGAATGCGAACACGGGTCTGTCTGTGATGAGCTTGGCCATGTTGATGAATATGAGAGCTTCGCCTGCGGCGGGGTGTATGAGCCATAGAGGAGTTTTGTTGCCGTTGGGCTGGAGCTTGACAGCTGGGATGTATTGGTGGTGGTGTTGGCATGTTTCAGATAAACCACGGACGGTGTTGTGGGCCATCATCGTGGCGAGGGGGATTGGCTCATTTAGTGACAGTCTCGACCGCAAGCCATGTTGAAGCCGGATAAGCGTTAATGAAGTAAGGCCAAGCTCGAAAAGGTCGGTGTCGATTCCGATGTCTTCTTGAGGTACGGATAAGAGTTCTGCTAACTCTTCCACGATTGCTTGCTCGGTCGGGGACCCGGGTGGTCTGTATATTGATTGTCGATATCTCTTGATCATTTCTCTGTTAGTAGCTTCTTCCATTTTGTAATAGCCACTCGCAACTTCCCGCTGCAGGTTAGAACGAGGAAGCTTCCCCAGGGATGTGCGTTTTATACTTTGTAGAGGCAGAATATACGGGCGCACATTTGTGATCATTGTAATGCGGTGCGTTATCGCAGTCATCATCTCATACCTAGCTTTGGCATCTCTAACGCAGTAGCTATGCTGGTAGATGACGCAAGGTCTCTCTGTGTCTGCACCCCTGGGACGGAATGGAAAGCATATCACACAGTCGGAAACAATCCCCGGTATTTTTGCGTCCTCTATTGCGCCTTCCAGCTGCTGCGGAACATATTTGACGCCATTGACAGTGATCAATTCTTTCGTCCTGCCTGACAGATTGATTCTGCCATCTGTGTCTATGTAGCCTGTGTCCCCGGTTCGAAACCAGCCATCTGGACTGAAAGCCTCGTTGGTGGCTGTATGATTGTTGTAATAACCAGAAAATACAAGCGGGCCTTTGAGTTCCAAGTGCCCTACTTCTCCTGGACACGCGAGAATGCGATCCGTCGCTATGGAGACGATTCGTGCCTCAACGCCAGTAACACATCTGCCTAGAGCAGCAAATTTGTTGTTGTTACAAGTGTCATGTGCAGGAAACTCCAAACTATAGATGCACCCTGCACAAGTCTCGGTCATGCCAAATCCAGGGACGATGACATTTTCAGGTGCGCCGTGTTGGGCCAGTAATCGCGACACTTTTGCACCGGTACTGACAACAACAGCCTCCCCACCAGACACAATGTATCGCAGACATTTCAAGTCAAAGTGAGGTTCATCTTCTCGTCCGGGGGCTTCCAAATAGCGGCCAACCTCAGCGAGGAAGAAATTGGGTGCAAATGTTCTAACCACCCGGTGTCGACTTATGAGATCGAGGAACAAGGCTGGGCGAGAAATGATCTCGTCGGATGGGACGTGAACCTGATCGCACCCGACAAATAGTGCATGGAGATGGATCTCGATTAAACTTCCCACGTGGTCGAGACGAATCCAGTTCAGAAACGAGTGGCCAGTGCCACCAACGCGTAAGCATTGGGTTTTCCCTTGAAGGGAAGCCAAGATCTGATTATGCGTCAAGGACACAGCTTTGGGTAGACCAGTACTTCCGGATGTGAGCATCAACAAAGCAGGATTCCAGCCACCGCGGCCAATGGGTACTCTGGAATTGGTTTCTGTAGTAGCGGCAAAGTCGGCTGGTGGATCACTCAAGGATTCTACGGTCACAACGTGCAAAGGAGCCTTTTGTGGAAACTGGTCTTGGAGGCTTCTCCGAGTTAGACAGATAGGATTCTCGAACAGCTCGCTTAGGTGACAGAGATGTCTTATCCGGTGATCTTCATTTCGAGGTAGAGCAGTGGACATTGCAGGGATGCAACCTGCATATAAGGCAGACCATAACCATATGATGTTGTCCAGATGGTCTTCAAAGTGAAGTAGTATGACAGGAGACTTGGTGTCGCACTGCAGCCGGCGCAGTTGTATAGCATTAGTTGTGGCCAACGAGTCGAGCTTTGTGTAACTCAACCTCGTGGGAGAGCCGATCCCAGAATAGCCAGGAGGGTAAGCACAGACACCACGAAGCCCTTGGTATTCTGCTGCTTTGCGGAGAATGTCTATCAAAGAAATCACAGTCATTGTGTGAGTAAATAATGTAAGTAATTAAGTCAGGGCTCAAATGAATGTGAAGAGATATGACAAAGCTTTGTGCCAGAACCGAGAAAAAAAGAAGTGTTCGATGCGACTGTTTGGCGAATCCCGGAAGCATGCATCGAGACATGCCATTTTATACATCTCGACATACATATAAAGATTAAGCAACAACATTTTCTGATTTTTATCTTGCTTGCGAATGAATCGCATGGAAGATGACATGGCTGGAATCAGAATGCGGTCTGGAAAGATGCGCAAGCCCACTCATGGCAGGATCCTCCTGGCAAATATGTGACGATCTGCCTTTCATTTTGCTTGTCCTTGTATAGCCAAAGTATCGCCTCGGATAAACTATCCAGGAAGGTGATTACGCACATCATCGGACCAATCTCTGTATAATTAGAGAACAGCGTCACAGATCCTTTGTATGAGGTAACATTCTCCGTACTACCTCAGGGTTGGCAAATGCCGAGAACCCCGCTTTTCTTGTCTCCTATTCGATTCTATTACATCTTCTCTGTACTGGTTCCCATTTTGGATGTGGGACAACGGATTGCATCAGCGAGGGGCGATCGGTTATCCATCCATTGATACTGTAGGAAGCATTGGCACTCCCTTCCTGATAAAACCAGTACTATGTCATAGTTGCATTGTTTCGGTACGATCACTCGAGGATGGTCGGAGTCAGACTCGTGAGAGGAGACCATGAGATAATAATCAATGCAAGGGATTGTGCCCATCTCACATGCCTCGGATACCGGTGACTTGGGTTAAACATGAGACACTGATTCTTGAGGCTATTTATGAGGCCTTGATACATTGATGTGTAGATGAATTTGCGGACACCAGCCAGCAAAAACACAAGAACTTGAATCTGCTAGCTTTATACCGAACTGCATCGTTCATTTCACAGGTAATAACTAGCAACATGTATCGGCCCTCAGAAGAGGCAAGAAGGATTTTCGACCTTCTGCGTCAGAACTCGGAACGCCTCGGTCTTCCGGTCGATAATCTTACTAGCCAAGTACAATTTCATGCTGATTCAGATACGATTTACTATCCGATCCCTTTCAAGGTCACTGAGACCCTGGCCGCTCTCAAAGGGATAGAAGGGGCCCTGGCAGCTTTGATAGCGGATCTACAATCAGGGACTAAGCCACATGAACGAAAGACTACAATCAACCTTGGAAGAGCAACGATTTTTGGCTTTCAGGCACTAGTCACCAAGATCGATGGATACTCTCGGTCTGACCCCGAGGTCAAAAGGTACTTGAAAGGTGAGACAAGTCGCTGTCTTTTCCATGGTGCAGAGAGCGGGGAGTGACAACATGAAGATACGGATATCCATGCTGCACAATCAAATCCGTATCGGCGGATGGCTGCCAGTATGTATCGGACCAAGAACGATAACGAGTTCTTCCATCTGCATGGCTCTTTGAACCCCACTCCCACTCTGAATATGATCGGTCTAGACAGCCACAACGCAGATCTCACTAAATACGATGATATCATAAATACCATCCAAAAGCAAGTTCAGAAGTTCTCCGCAGCTGAGCTAGAGACCCT